GCTGGCAGTTCCGTCTAGACAAAACAGAGCACGCACTCGGTTATTAATAACATGGGCCGTCATTAAACTGTGCTGCTGAGAATGTCTGTTTAATAATGATCTTACATTAGTTATGATAGTAAATACACATCTGACAGTGTAGCATTTGCCGACCAGCTTTGCCTGGAAATCATCCAATGTTTCCAAACTGATATTTATTAGACAGGAGATCTTGACGCTTATACCATTTGCCACCTGAACCCTAATAAATCCTTGCCACAAACACAGCTAATTGTAAACTTGTAATAGCATTTTACACGCTAACGTGTATTATTTAGTGGAAGTAAAGTGAAATCTGAAAACATTAGTCTTTGTGCTTTTCACGAATACTTAATATACTGTAAATGCGTGAATGTGCGCAAATATATTCCATCAGAATTGCCTCCATAATAGCGTATTTACTTCTGTAAGCTTCAGTTTATATATATAATTTATTTAGTAATTGAGTTGACATATCTTATATGATATTTATGTCATTGCCACTCCCTGTCTATAGCCCAGTTCTTCTCTGACTGTAGGTGGAAATGACCAGTAACCTGTGCAACGCTGGCCTTTAGTCACCCATCGTTAACGAAGAAGGTGCAGTGAATTTCATATGAAAGACTGATGTTTTAGTTGATTTTATGTTTTATTTAAGGGGAGTATTAATCTGTATTAAAACATTTTGGTCATTGTGCTGACCAGTTTTAAATCTGTAAGCATCTGACAAAGGCTGTGATCCCATCTGCCTATGGGTCCAAATTAAAGTTCAAACGACCGGCTTATACATGCTGATCCTGTATCATAGCCTCTCGTGACCCTTCAATTACTATTTAATAGAATTACAGTCTTAAATCCCAGTAGTCTTAAAGAAAGTTTTATCACAGGACTAGCATAGCGGAGGGTATAACAGACGATTGAAGATTTATGGCAATAAAGGCAGAGGCCGCAACTAATAGGGTGTTTTCTCAAGTTTCTAAAATAGCTTTTGTTCAGAATAACTTGTCCCCCACTCCCCCAGAAGCAAAACTGAGAGCCACGTACAAATAAAATAAAAATATATGAATGCCTCATATCCACATCCCTGTTCTTGTTCGTCGTGCACAGAGAATCCCCGGTAAGTAACTTGACTACAGAACTTGAAAATATGGCCAAGCGGTTTATCAACTGCAGATAAAATATGTAGAGTACAAAAAGAAGCTTCTCTTACTATAATATATATATATTAATTGACGCTACCATAAACACAATTTTAACTTATTTTTATCTTTCTATTGCCTATTAAAGAAAATAAAGAGTAATATTAATAAATTAAAGGTTAATGAGGAAGCAACTAACCTCTAAAATAAACTAGTACATTTGTTAATATAACTTATTTATTCACTTTAAATCTTACTGCAGCAAATACACGGAGTAAAATAGAGACTCGGTTTCACCGGCGGCAACCTTAAGAAAAAAAAAATTTGAAACTGAAGATATTTACAAAAATTACACGAACGATAGATTTAAAGATTTGCTGAAATGTCCACAGTGTCTATATAGGCTAAGGGAAGCTGGTACGTATTTTCTTTCACATGAAGTATGAATAAACATAACGACTTTAAACACAAGACAGACTCTACGTCTATAGTAGCCCAGCAATCAGAAAGGCGTTTTATTAATTTTGTTACATAATATGTTCAAGTGCGACATCTTACCTTATGAGGTTGCATGAAAACATAAATAAGTAAAAGTCTCTCATCCTACAAGAGTGATTGCAGTCTGAGCCATTCTGCCGGTTCTGCAGGCGCTGAATCCAGGTCAGAGGGAACTAGAGCTCAATGAGAGCTGCATGAATAAACACGAATAGAAAGTTGTGTGCAGTTAACCGATTAAATCGGAGAAAAAGCAGGGCAGAACAGTTCTTTCTCACTGCAGGCCGCAGCGAAAGAGCTTTCGCCTGCATACGCGCAAGGTTATGGGAATCGGACAAATAATCTATTCTTCTGTTTTTGAAATATATACTATTGACTATACATGTGCACAGGACAGAAAAAAAATCCGTGACTATCTTCTCTTATTTTAGTTGCCTCATGCTCCGTGCTTTCTCTGCTTGTTATGTAAACCCTCATCAAATTGTGTGAAGCACACTCATACCCGGCACCGAAGGGTACATTGATTTCGGTTTTAATCTGGGTTAGCAAAGGCTGACGTATTTTTCTTAGAACGAGATTGAACAGTGAACGTAAATGTAGTGAACAACATTAACAACAACACTTAAGAACTAATACAAAAATTGACATTCACTGCTTACACGTTGATAAGTTAACAGGCTATTTATTTAGCTAAGGGGGAAAAAATGAGTTCTCATTTGTAATAATATTCGTCCTACAGAAAGGAGAAAACGTGCTGTTTTTACGTGCTGTATAATTTAAATACTAGGCGTTCACCTTGGGACACTGGAAATGTCAAAATTATATAAATTCCTTATTTATATAGCCTTTCTGATACACGTAGCCAAAAGCAGAGTCTTAGGGTGACTGTTAGTACTATTAGTTACTGTTGTTAAACTATTATAACCGTAGGAAAACCTGAAGACATAAAAGAAAACAAAACATTTAACATCCCATTAAAGTGTTCATTTGGAGCGATCTGTTGGATTTAATGTCATGGTCGTATCCCCTGTATTGATAAACTGCTCTTCAGCTTCCGATTAATTTCTTCTTAATCAAGGTCTGTGCTTGTCATGGCCAATAAACTAATAGAGATTGTGAAGGAGAGGCCGATAAAGATCAGCAATGGCGAGCAGGTTAGCTGTTTGTGATAGGCCCTATCTTTCCCGGACAGATGGATTTAGTGGGTGAAAAGGGCTTAAATGCAGATTTTCATAGATTTAACAACAGTCACCTATTGATGTTTTATGCAAATCTCGCCACGGTGCGGAATTTTATATTTATTTTTCATTTAATGTATTTTATTTTATTTTAAAATAATACAGTATTAGGTCACATCTTCACATTTCCTTCGAAATTGTTCGATTACTCTCTAGGTTTTTGCGGAATCATTAAATGGACATAAAGGTCAAAACAGACTGCAAGAGGAATGAAGCTGCCGAAACGCACAATTTGAAACGGTCTGTTTATGAAGAGTGTAGAATCACTGTGAAGGGGGAAAAAGTTATAGCCCGTGTTATACTGCGCATGCGCGGTGACGTACAGCGAGTCCGTGTCGAAGTTGCTTGCTCTCATTCTCAAGCTGCAAAAATACTGAATTAATAATGAACGTATTTAAGACCTTAGTGATTTAATTGATTTCAAATTCTATGCAATGCAGTTCTGAAATACAATTTACATCATATTATGTGATTTAAATTTAACTGCCGTCGAATAGCCTGTAGAAATACTTGGTTCGTTTGGAGTTTTAAGGAGTGTGATTCTCAAATTTCCTCAGTTGCTTATTCTTTCTGGTTTATAAACTATATATATGAAGACTTCAGAATATAATTTGTATTGCTATATTTTCTGCAAAAAGATACGAAGGAGGACAAATGCACGCTACATACATTAATGTTTAAACATTGGGTTTACAAAAACTCATTTTAAACTTAAATATATACTGTGTACGAGAGCTCTGTGTGATGGGAAATATTCAATATTTTTATTTATAACTACAGTTTTCAAAAATAGCGTTATGTTTTATTTTGAAACTTCAGTGAATCTGATGATAAACGCTCTCGAAAAACAAAAAATAAGAACATCACGCGTCACCTGTTTTTCGAAAAGAGAAGGGACAGTATCAAGAACTACAGTATTATTACAGCAGTTCTAGTTTCAATTATTAAGTTCCTAATTTGAAAGGTGTTAACATTTTAATATTTTGATTAACAGGTTGTGGAAATCATTGATTTATTCCAGAAAATAAGCTAAATCAGTCGTTTCATTAAGCCCTATATTAATACATCGTATAAGTGTATTCCTTATAAACACACCCCAAGCATTAAGCATTAACCCAGGATGTTAACAGTGGTGTTAACGAAGCTGGCGACGAGGGTTAAAAATAATCATTTGTAGGCTGAATCTATTGTTGTGGAGATGTACTTTACATGTATAGTTAAATTTTTGTTTAACAAATCACGCTATTAAAGTCTCAACACTGAACTTTGTGTACAGCCATTTTTACAATTTTACGCAGAATAAATACAAAAATAACTAAGTAACTTTATTAAAAACGCCAGCATGGCCGATTCAAATAACTCGCCATTATGGTCATCTAAATGAATGTGTTGTTCTATTCTGGATGATTACCGAGGACACTTTAGCAGCTGGCTCGCCAGTAAACGTAACTGTTGCTCAATAATAAACCTCACCAAGCCAATGTAGGTAAAGATGCGTTTGGATAGTTTTTGCGGTTGACAAATCGGAGGTACAAAAGTTTCAAAACATAATGTATCACACAAGTGTTCAAGTTCGTGTGTTATTATTATTATTATAATTATTATTATGATTGTGTAGATTAATGTCTTATGGAACAGCTTGGAACACTACTAGCATTGTAAATAAAGAGGCTTTCACGGTTTTACAATGGAAGTTCGGAGCATGGGAGGAGCTCACAATGATTAGTCGATTTAGTGGCGCGTTTGCTTAATTTCTGTATTCATTAGTGACCGTAAACAAAAGAAGGTAGAGTCCCTCTGCTGCACGAGACAAAGTTTGATGTGTATGTGCACATTACCGTAGCCTAGAGTATTGCAAGTATTAGAACAGAGATGTTCGAAAAACAACAGACCTGCGTATCATATATTAACATGTACTGTATATCTCGAGCTACAGCCCTTTCGAAATACTGTTAAAACTAATGTCACTGCTACTTTTTCTATTGGTTGTTATCCTAAGTATGAGAAAAGCAAAACGCTGATTTTGCAATTTTGTTTTAATGCTGTGCACGGTACTGTATTGTCTTTATGAGAACTCAGTTTTCAGACGCCAAAGAAACACAGCAGAACATAAGAAAATGGAATACTGTATTTGATTTAGAAATTTATACATAAACATGAACATAAACACGCAGGTAAAGGAACATTGAATAATAAGCGCCCTAAGCGAACTTGGAGGATTCCTGACAGGTCGCAGAAAAATACTCCAAATAGCTTTTGCATAAAAGTGAACAATAGCACTCGATGTTTTTTTTTTTAATCTACCGCCGTATTCCCCTTTAAAAAATCATAACAAAACAGAAAACCTATAGCACTTCGTCAGACGTTTTGACAAATATTTTATGTAGGAACACCAAGCCAAGAATAGTGAACAAGAATAGAAAAGGAGATAGAGAAGAACAGCAGTATCATATACAAGCATCTCTCTACACATATATTACAGACTGGGAGAATGATCGCATTATTTTAGATATACATAATTCATATAAAATCTTGAAATAAAAATAAAAATCTGATACAGTCATAACTATTCGGTTCCACATTTGACCAGTACCCACACAGGCAGTGACAGAAGTGTAGAAAAAAAGGTGCTTACGAATCGAATGATTGTCTGATGAACATAAAATAAAACGAGAGAGGATTGCATCTTGGTTGACCGTCATCACCACTTGGACTAAAACAGAGATAGAGAGAGATTTTTTTTTTAAAAAAAGGCGATAAACATCTGGTTATTCCCTCTTCTTGGCGCTCCTTGTAAAAATATTGAACGCAGGTTATTATTTTCCCAGATACAAAAGAATATCATGCAATTAGTGGTGGGGAGTTGGGAAAGGTGTGCGTCCATGGAAAGCGCTTGCAAAAGACGTGCTTGTCTCTCTTTCTTAATAATACCAATTGGTCCTTTTTTTCTTCCCCGATATTTTTATATAGTCTCAGTTTTTTGTTCTTTTCAGGTCCGTATTCCCTGTTTAATTCTTTCTTTTCCGTATCATACATCACATTCCGAGTCACTGGAGGTTACAGAAAGAATGGATGTGCCCGTTTCGACTCTCTCCGTCATACTGGAAACGCTGGTGGTCGGACTGGCCGCCGTTGACGGGGACTCAGCCGAACTGTGCGGGGTGCACCCGGATTCTGACAGCGATCGCATGCCATTTTGTCCTATTGCTTGGTGCTGGAGCCTGATGAAAATAACAGAAGGAAAAAAATGGAAAAAAAAACACACATCGTAATTAGTACACATCTCAATGCATCGATGTGCAAATGCTAAATTCTAATGCATTGGAGCGTGCACGCGTCTAACCGTATATTCATTAAATCGCCTGTCTGTATTAAAGAAAGATGGGTATACAAAAAACGAAAACTGTACACCATTTTTGTTTGTCTACAATAAAGTGGGACGCAAAATCGTATGTTTTTTTTAACAAAGCAGTGCCCCTGATACAGCCCGCGTGCACTCTTTGAGCAAATGAGCATAGAAAGATGTTCACGGCCACGTTTATTTATTTGTTACTGGTTTCACGGGAATAATGTTGACCATATTCTGGTTCTCCAGTCTCTTACAGGCGTAATGTGAGCTGTTTAATAATATGACGTCTTATTTCTATAGTATAAGTTAATGGGACTTATTAAAGATAAGAGTGCTTAAAACTCTATATTAACGAAAGCCTTATAAAATAAACATATTTCAATGGATGCAACATAATAATTAATTTCAGATACTATAAAAGGTGGTAGATGTCTTCATCAAAAAACATAATAAGCTGATTTTTTGTTTTACATTACTTTCAGTACACCACGTGGACACATGCTTTCAACGCTTTTCAATGCTTTCAACGCAAGACAAATACTCCAGAAATGCATTTTTATAGGTATGCCACTAAATAATTTCCACTGGAATAAGTGCAGTCTTCAAGGACCGAAGAAAACACATTTAAAAAAATTAAACTAACTAGATATTATAGGTGAGAGTATTTAACTTACGTTTTTCAGCAAAATAAATAAACCAGTATGAAGAACGAGGAGGTTTATAAAAACAAACATCTGACAATTTTAGCCCTTTATTGAACGCGCCTGAATTACCAAAAGATGATGATGATTATAGTTACAATAATAATTTAAAACTTTTAGATGCATGTACTTAAGATCACCTCTTTTGTGATGCAAGTATAAATGCATTTCTTACAAATTATATCATACCATGATTATTTACAGGGAAAGTAATAATTATTACTTCATCCAGTTCTTTAAAAAATATTTTGAATGGGTTTCTTCTAAATAGTAGTTTAATTTAGAAGTCAGTGTATAATATCAGCTCCCTCATATTTACCATCTTCCTGGGAGCTCTAGGTAGAAGCCATATTTCCTTGTGTGATCTTTTCCAATGTCTTTCTCAGCTCTTAAAGGCTGGGTAGTTCTCAAAAACTTTCCCTGGTCGAGATAAGAGAGAATTTACAGGTTTGCTACGGGAAGTTTAATTTCGAGATAAAATTTAGCACCTCCTTACTCTTGAACCTTTGTTTTGTTGTTATTCATTCCTTCCTTTGTACCTAAAATACTTAATGCTTAAACATTAATGCTATTTAACAACCATGTACGTTTGCAATGAAGTATAATTGTTATTGCTTATATATATGTAGAAGTAAACGTTTTATTTAAAAAAGCTTGCTCTTTAGATAACAATAACTTTGCATATTTTCCACTGTTATTCCCAAAGTATTAAAGCTGTAAAATCAGATTTGGGGTGTTGTAATTGAAAAGTGAAATGTTTTTCCTAAGTGCAAAAGTGTTGTAGCCTAAGTGCAGCGGTTTCACTTTTTACTTGCTGCTTTTTTAGTTTTCTCATATCTACAATAACTAGAAATTCTGTTCTAATACTCTGAGTCAAGGGAAATGTTTTACTGTTTAGTGCTGTGATTGCACACTCTGTAACTGTAATAGCTTTGATTGCGATCTCTCCTGTAAACAGCAGTATGGCTTGTAATGCCATGAGTGTTATTTTTATACATGAGAATAAAAATGAGTTTTTCTTAGTCTGTTGTACTGTTTTTTTTTCTTTTCAGAATTCGATATCTTATTGAGCTACAGTTTCTCCAGAAAGAATTAAACTAACTTGAAATATCTTTCGAGCCGTTTTCTCCTTTCTATCTGAGGGAACTGGCGAGTGCGTTGTTTCCTGCGCCTTACAGCACTAGAACAAAACCGAACTGACCTGTTTTTTGCAGCTGCCGCTCTGTCTCTTTGCCTCCGATTTTTAAACCAATTCCCGACTTGTGTAGGAGTGAGTCCAGTGGCTTGAGCCAGTTCCCTTTTCTTGCTGGGATTGGGATACGGGTCCTGCAGATACCACTCCCTTAACAGACTGCGTGTCCTCTCTTTGAAACAGTGGGTCTTCTGCTCGCCGTCCCAGATGGTCCTGGGCAGTGGGAACTTCTTCCGAACCCTGTACTTATCTACCGGTCCGAGGGGGCGACCACGCAACTTCTCGGCCTCCTGGTAGTGCGCTTCTAACCACATGGCCTGCAATTTGCCATGGGAGTCCTTGGTAAACTTGTGGTTCTCCAGGATGTGGTACAAGTCTCTGAAATTCCCCGTGTGGAAGGCAACCACGGCGCGGGCTCGCAGGATAGACTCATGTTTGTTGATCGCCTCGCACGCCCCCGGTGCCACGGGCAGGGACCAGAGGAACCGTCCCAGTCGCTCGATATCTCCGGTTTCTTCCAGCGTCTCGCAGACGCTCGCCACTTGCTCCGGAGAGAAGTTGAGAGTGGGTAGCTGAAACATTGACAACTCTTCGGGAGATCTGGCGCTGGGTGCGCTGCTCGCCAAAACCAAAGGGCGATCAGCGAAGTTTGGCAGGAAGAAATGGGAGGGATAAAGCTCTAAAGGGGATCTGAAAACCATGGAATGACCTGAGAGAGAAAGAAAAATATCAAGGAAAAGAAACGACGAGTCAAGATTGAATGATTCAATAGCTATCGCCTAATGACACCAGCCTCATAATATCTCCCCTAAATCCACCGTGAGTGTAGCATTGAAACATTTTGTTTCGCTTTTCTATTGGTCTTCTTGGTGTCGTTGTAAGGTTGTCATGGCAGCCCTGCCAATCACTGTCAAGTGTGCCAATCATTAGCCAGTACGTAGAGGCTTTCACCACTTCGCCTGCACACACGGGGGGTTATCAGAAACTCAAATCTCAACACTCCCCTCCCTCTACACAGGCTCACATGAAGTAAAAAGCCAATGTTCGCGTATTTGTTGAATGGGATGAGCAATTAGAGGGTGGAATATTATTGCGATCTTAACGAGGCTCGTTAGAGCTAAAGAAGATATGTAGGGAAAAGGAATGGGTGGGTGCAGGAGGGGGCTGTGGGGGTGCCAAATGGGGCAGGCTGGAATACTGGAATACACATTTGAATAAAGGGCTTCTAACCGAGTCAATTTACACATGATTTGCACGTAGTTTCGCTTCATTCGGTCCATCTGAACACTATTAATTCTGGGAAAGAAAGGAAAGATGAGATCATTAGACTCATCCTAATAGCACTGACCATGCCAGCGAAGGCGCGTCGCAGAATTAAATTTTGCTTTAGATCTTCGCGGGCTTGTACACTTTATTACGAAGGGCTTTATTAATATTAGCGTAAGATGTAAGGGACTTTAATGGTGTACCGAAGAGTATTTGTTACATCTGATCATACGCCAGTATCACCACAGCCTCTGGAATGGGTTTGAATGTGTGTTTTCTTTTAGTTGGGGATCTCTCTGATCAGAAGTACCCCTTCAGGAACAACTGCAATGAAGATCCATCCAGGTCCAGACCCTGGTACTGTTTTTGTCTGCAGCAGGGCTGGCCTGGTGCCAAGTTTAAGTGTTTCCAAACATTGACTTAAAGGTGAATGAATATTACTGCGCTGTGTAAGAGAGAGTTACTTACCGCTGGTAACCAAAATGATTTGGTAAAATAGAAATGACACATGTTTACCACAAGCTCATGAATAATAAATACACTACACATATGTGTTTATAGGCCTGCATTGCATTTTTTTTAGCATTAAACAAGTAGTGGAACCGTAGTGCAATGTTTACCCAAATGCTTTTCGCTAATTCATAGCACTTGTTAATAGTTTTAAATTTATTTTAGCGTTTCGTTTTATTTGAAGGCTTAGTCAGCACCTCGATTTGGCCAGTCTTTTGTTTGCTTGCTGTAGCTATGCGAGTGTGATTTACGGTGATTTGTATGGGCTACAGGCGCCCATCCTGCCCTGGTGGTGTATATTTGGACAGGACTTTGCTTGGTGTTAAAAAGTGTATATTTTGAATGAGTTCACACACAGTAGCGAACAATACATACATTGTAAAGGCATATACAAGGCGTATTGAAACAGGGCATCGAGACTTCAACTAATCTGCCCTCAATAAAGCTGAAATAATTATCCTAAGCCGCCTTTCCACAAAAATCATTGAGGAATTCAAAACGTTTTAGATTTTTTTTTCTACATTCTTAGGCAGATTTCTGCTAATGCACGGAACCAGCCTAGTGCCAAATTCGACAAACCGAAAACTAAGCATGTATGAATGAAATATATGTATACACTGCGTGGAATTGTAAACAATAATAACTAGCGTAGTAATAACGCCATACTTAGTAACGAAAACTATGCGCAGTTGTCGAGATCTGCATGCTGCGGTGTTAGTAAGGGTGGAGAGAGGTACGGATCCTTCCTGTGTGAGCTCCTGTCACACCGGACTCCGTGAGGTAATTCCAATCGGCGTTTGAATAGGTCCTTTTGCAAAGGTTCCTGCAATGGAAGTTACACAAAGTACTCCCATACCTCCTGTTTTTTCAGTAACTTATACTACAATGTTGGTGAGGCCTTTTTGGTGTTTTGAATTTCGTTCCTTAAAACTTAATATATCTACGTGTGTATGTGTGTGTGGTTATCTATATGACATATATGTGTGTGTGTGGAAGTGTTTAATTTTAAGAGTCACGTTGTAGGCTCAATTTCGGGGTAATTACAACAGAAATCGTGCGCTGAAACGTAAGTCCGCTGTTTGAAAACCCGTGGTAAATAACATTCTTGTACACAGCCTTTTGTTTGCGTTAAGCATGTAATTAACACCCCTAAACAAGTTTATTCACCTGGTTTGATTGTCTGCTTATCCGCAAGCTTGGAATGCTCCCTCCTTAACTGTAACCAGCGGGAGACGCGCTATTCAATGCAGACAAATCATTAGGTCGATCTTTGTTTATTTACTGTGCTGTCCGCTTCTGTCTTTACAATACACGACTAAGTTAACAGTAACATTAATGTGGTACAAGATGTATTAATTGACCTTGACCCGGCTTCGTAGCTATAGATTTATTGTTCAGTACAGCAGTAATTCAGAGGTTCCGTGTTTTCTATTTGAATTATTGTATTTATCATTTTGACACGAAAGGCAGAAATAACCCGTCAGAGAGAGAACGAAAATGTTCTGTAGTCTGGGTTTCAAAACGCTACCAAACTTCACATTCGTAAGCCCTGCTTGGTTCTGTGATGTCTGCATCAACATTTTCAGGATGCTCATCTGCAATATTTCGGAAATCAAGAAAACTGTAAAGCGTCATACGGTGTCAGCCACTAACGAAAGTGTTTTGCTTCGTAAAGAGGCACTTGGAAAAAAAAAGATCATACGGTAATCTCCTATCAAAGAATGAGAAGAATGCGGATATTCGAAATTAAATGTTGCGTACTTTGGGATACTCGGTGGTTTTAAGTTCCTTTCTGAACCGGTTAGAGGCAAATTCCCTTATCCTTAAAGGTACGAGCAGATAATTATTGGCACTCAAGCTTTGTGTGAGCAGGACCGGGTGTAAATGGATTTTTGAAGACAACGACTGCCCGCTGAGGCAGCGGTCAATGAAACTGCTTGGCAGGCTTCTTGTGGGAACCCACACATATATGTGCTCTAACATATTTGCCTTCAGTCCGAAATAAAAAAAAAGAAAAATAGGGCAAGATTTTTTTTCAAGTCTCCACTCTAACAATGAATGGAAGGCGCTGGACAAAAATCATTTCACGGAAGAGAAACCGTCCGGAGAAAAGATTGCTACGTTACAGGAGAAGAGTATCTGAGTACCGAAGTGGAAATCCTTTCCGGATCCTGTAAGTTTATTATAGGCAGGCGTAGAGCCCGTCCCCTGTTGCGATGTAATTATCTGTCAGTGTTTACATAGATTTAAAGAGAAATAAAATATTTTCCGACTCTTCGAGTGCTCGGTGTGCCACTTGAAAGGGGCTGTACGATATATATTTTGAATAAATTATATTTTTATGTGAAGTGCGCACGGGTTATCATTTGGTGTTGAAGACAGGACGGTCGAGTCTACCTGACAACATCTGAAGCGGTACTTTAAAGTTGTTTAAAAGAAGGGGTTCATTGCTTGAATTACAAAAAAGGTTAAAAACGTAAAAGACCACATTCTCCTCCGGTGCTTTTATAATCAAATAACAACCATTATGTCTTTATTTTCCTTGCGATGATCCGCTGTGCACTCCGAGGTAGGTTACATTATAGAGTTCGGTCTTCTAGGATCCTCATAGATTGGTGTTGCTTGTAGCTTTGTATTGCTGTCAGGACGGGGCGCAAATGACAGTCTTTATTTGCTTAGCTTCTCTTGTGTATTAAGCTCCACGGTAAACCAAGTTTCAGTCGTTCAGTGGTTTTCAAACGACCGAAGTATGACATTTTTATACCTTCTGTGGAACCGCACACTGCGATGTAGACATCATTTATCCTGTCCAAACAGCCTTGATTAATTCATTTTCCCAGCAATAATATGTGGATCGGTGTGGCAAGATATCATTGCAACTTCTCAGCGACCGACTTAAACGCTTTAGTATTTTTATTAGTTTTTTTTCGTGCAGAGAGGCGTATTAGCGAAATCCAATCACGCGTAATTTTATTGTGATCCATTATTGCTTAGGGAAGATATGGATCAAAATATTTTTGAAAGGCAAAGGTCCTTATAACAATAAATCATTCTCGGACATCAACAAACGGTTTTCGCCATCGGTTTTCACAATTGCTAATAACGGGAAAATGTACTTAATATACAATGAAGGAAACTTATGCTACGTTTAGTTTTTCTTTACCAGACGAAGACCGGTGCTGTTAAACAGTCATTTAATAGCTTCAGTTTTCAAGATAAAATGTCACCGTTTTTTATTGAAAGACAGCGTTTGGACATTCGTATTTTTTCCCCAATAATCACCTAACTATAAGAACGGATTAAAACACCTTTTATTTTACATGTTGAATGATTTCGCGCAATTATATTATTATCACAAAACCCTGTTTAAACAAAGTTTATCTGTTGCGGCAAAGTTCCACTCTTTCCATCTTTATGTAAAAAAAAAATGAAGTTTTCTACTTTTTTTGTGTGGTCTCATTAAGTGGGCATCCTGCTAAGTCCGGAGAGTTATACGAAAGCTGTCCAATCAGTGTATTTGCACGGCTTGTTAGCGACAGTTAATGAGGGCGCTCCGCGGACAGAAAGAATGGCGCCTCAATGTAAGATTTACCTTATGTCAACTCGTTACTTCTAATGAATCCATTCGAAGCTTCTTCTCTGAATGGAACCGGGAGACTGAAACTGCAGGCCCTCTTTTTTCCGGTTCCACAGAGAAGCACTGGTACTGGGTTAAAATGCGAAACTCCCCGGTGATGATTCTGTTTTGGGGGGGAGGGGTGCACCAATGTAATTCAGTGAGAGAGGGGGTGGTGTGTGTGTTGGGGGGGGTGGGCTGTGAAAGACATTTCACACAGTATAATATCATACGGCGCTATCATGTATTATTTGGTCAGTCGGCTTTGACATCTCAGTCTGCTGTAGTCACGAAAAGTTCACTTAACTGCTGCTAAATAAATGCTCCCCAGAGTTGCCTTTTTTTTTACAGATGCCCAGTGCGATTTGTGCCAAATTAACAACGCTTCATTGCTGGTTTATCCAGGTAAACCTTCACATTTGCCTATACGACTTCTAAGATGCCCCCCCGTCCCCTCCCCCCCTTTTCTCCCACTGGGCTAGCACTTAAAAATCAATTAGTCTTTTCAGTTCTTAAAGTAAATTATTCGAAACAAATGTATGGACCTCCCCAAGGGAGACGCAGGCGAGCATAAAAGGTTTGTTTTATTTTTTTTTCTTCTTTTTCTTCTTCCTGCAAGCCACAGCCCGGGCGCTCAAAAGGGCAGTCTAGCTAAACTAGAGCGCGTTTCATTCAATGGCAGCGTTAATTAATCTGTTGGTATATTAACACCAGCCCGTTTTTAATATATGATAACTTGACACTCTCGCGAGTTTATTTGGATGAATGTGGAACGTTTTCAGAATGGAAAGAGAGACAGTCATATCGTTCGGTCAGCAGAATTACAGCTGCCATAGGGTGGACTGTACGCGATTATATTAATGGCCTTTATGCAGTCTCATGCATTGATTTCCACGGGCCCTGATGCATACGGCAGACGAGGAGGCAGTCAAGCGAAAGGTTTTAGCCTCACGGATTAGCACTCAGAGTAAATAGCAATCTTGCTAATACTAACTGTAATAAAATAGTGTACCCTTATGCTAATGTATACACAGTAATTTCTTAGTCTGTGGATTTTTTAACCCCGCTTCTCGTCAGGATAATAGTTCTCATTTCGAGGTGTTCTCTGATTGACTTGAGCTTGTTTCAAGGGCGTTTCTAATTCTCCGTCTTGCACAAAATGTATAAGCTACACACGAATCGTTTCCATTTTAATTTCCCCTTGCAATTAAATAGCGTTTGTATGTGTACATATACCGGCTACATATATATATATATTTCAGTAAACAATGATTATTGTGTAGACTCCGGTTAGCGGTCAAGATTAAAGGTATCACAATGATCAAATCTTTAAATATGTTTGTTGACGCTTCTTATACGATAAGCAGCAAGCCAAGTAGAGAAAATATAAATTATATTTTTATTGCTGCTGTTTTTAATCACATAATTTTGACATAGAATCTCGTTTTTTATTTGAAACATGTTGATTATTTTCAGACCATGAGCACTGTTTGGATCATTTCAACACACATGTCTGGAACCGGCGTGGTTTTTCAGAAATAATATGTAAGCCTCATTAATAAAGCTACATGAAGCTCGTGTGTTTTATCTGATGTATAATAACACTTTTTGGCAGAACGTGCATCCTGTCGTCTTTAGTGCGCATAATCATAAACCCGACCAGATTAGTTTGTTTTCTTTAAACAAACGTGACATTCCTTATCTGCGTATCGGACTGGTAGAATTGGTCTGAATTCGACCCCTTCTTATTCATTCCCTGTTCTCCAAACTGGAGCTAATGTGAAACAAATGACTCTAAAATCTACTTTTGAAGCAGTACTTCGGTGATAAGCAGCGTGGCGACTTATCTTGCCGTGGTTAGATGCTGTGTTGAGTCGATGGCTCTTCCAGGTACCTGGGTATAATGCCTAATATAAAATTAATGTAACGGATATATTGCTCACGCCCCAGATTAAATCACATGATTGTCCAACAACATCAATATATTCCGTGAGTCTTTGATACACGGTGAAATAATTTAATGTCACATTTTCCTTATTAGTTTTATTTCCATACAAAGGGAAAGGTTGATTCATATGATAAAGGGGCTTTATCATTTAAAAAAGACAGGATTATAAAGGTTTTTGATGAGATTATATAAGACTGTGTAAAAGAGTGAGATAATACAGATAGACATAAACATAATAAACATAATATTAACAGTTATTCATTTTTGACCAAGTTGTTATTACTGTTGACTTTAGCAATGGCTTCGTAGTCACACGCACCACTCAGTTTCGGCGGATAATGTTAGGAGTGTTCAAGTCTATTCTGTCAAACTTCGTTACAAGTGCTTCGGTTGGAAGCGGGGCAGATGTCAGAGGTGGAGATATTGTAATTACCGAGCACAAGTTCAGAAAAGGCCTGACCAGTTCTGCTCGGTACAATTAATCCCTACCTCTGAATTCTAATACTTGAGCTGTCAACAAGCTTTGCTGCAATTAATATTCGTATAATTTATCATTATTCCACACCTCAAGAATTGCATATACCCGTATATACAAATAAGTAAAGTGTTGGATAAAAACAAACAAACATGAAAGTTCGCGCTACACTCTCAGTGTGATCAGTCTGGAAGTCATTGTACAAGGCTCTGTATCTTGCCATGAACTACCCAGATCACACGAAATAAACCGCCTAAAAGTCACCTCCAGCAATGGCATGATCTGAAATTCTGTTTCCCATTCAGTTTTAAGCACAGCAATGAACATGGTTACTAGTGACGATGATAGTAATGAAATATTACAATAAAAGTGTAACAAATAAAAATCAAAATTGTAATGCTTTGTGAGTTTTTTAACGCATGCATTACTTTTGGCTTTAGGCGCCTAAAGCATTAGTGCTAAAACCAGATATCACATTTTATTTGCAAAATCACATATATCCCATCGTAAGCAAAACGCAGAATGTTACTGTAGCCCAGGCTCAGACTGTAGCAATACATTACTAAAGAATCGTACACGCCTCTTCGTTGGGTGACTATCTAAAGGCTTATATGTTATGTGTCGTATCAAAGTACATGAAAATACATTTTCTAAAAAAAAGTCAGATTGCTACGAACGAAACCATTAAATGGATAATGACACATAAGGCCAATAGCTAAGGAGAGCTGAGCATCTTGTCTTGTTTGATTGCTCTGCTAGGTAACCACGGGTACTCTTTGTGATAATTCAGAAAGAACATCAGTTTTGTAATCCATTTCCACTGTTAGATATATTGATTTTCTTTCTTCGATTTCGCTCATAACCAGAAAATTCAAAACAGGGTGTCTTTTTCCGGCTGACCCGGTCCATTGTGTTATGTGGACGACAATGTGGGCGTGTGTTGAAGCTATAGCACACCGTAAATCGCAGTAGACTTACATTTGTTATTGTCCATGACAACACTTGTGCTACCATAACTCAAACTGTACTGTTCGTTTGTTTCCAGCAGAAAAAGAGATGTAAACGTTGAGTGTCATTTCACGGACAAATCAGATATTTGTTCTTAACATCTGGGTGTCTTTCATAGTTACACCTGAAGGTCGTCTATAAATATCGGCTCCACTGTAACTCTTGCTCAGTGGAGCATATTCAGAGAGAGAGAGCAGGGACGTCGGTTTGGAAAGCATAGGACCCACAGCAGGCAACCTGCTGATACTGGGGTCTGAGAATGATCGAATGTTGCAGAACAGCAATGGAGAAATTAATACATTGCCTGTCTAATAATACACAGTTAATATATTTAATACCTGTTATCCTGGCTATATAAAATGAGGTTTTAGTTGATGTAGCATAGCTGAATCAAACATTTCGTTTAGGGTTCTGTGACTGCGTTGCACCTTAAGAAACTGAAACATGATACTTCAAACAGGAAGATTTTGACCTATCTTGTAGTCTCTAATATATATATATATCGGTTAATGCGACACAATTAGCGGTCTAAAATGTTTAGTTGATTTGTATACCAATAAAGTATGAGTTAAAACTGAATTCCCTGCTAATTGTTTTCAACGATTTATTTTTCCTGTTTAAGGAGCAGAAAAAAAACGAGTTTCTACAAAGCAATATTATAAACCATAGATGTACGATAATACTCCAAGTGACACATGACAACGAAGAATGTAGTCAGTTCTGAAACAAAACAAACTTTTTTTTTAATTCTAAGTAGTTTGAATCGCCTTGGAAACTGCCCCACAGGTGTAATAAAGAATACTGTACAATAAGCAGACATTCACTCACACAATGCATTCTTCTGCGTTTTCATGAAACAGCTATAAAGGTAATTATGCCCTTTTAATGCCAAGAGTCATGTATTACTTTATATTGCTGTCCAATCTGTTGTTTTTTTTAGTACGGGACCCAATGGAACCTGCCCACTCTGTCCTTCATTTTTTTTTCTTTAGCAGTTAACAATGACTGGAGGTCAGCGGAACGGGTCATGGCTATCCATCGCCTATAAATAGATTTTAATATTTAGACAGTTATTGTAACTCGATATTAACTTACAGGATAATGGCGAAAGATACAGCATCCACTGAACTTGTTACTCACGAATGAGCAGCATCTGTCGAATATAATTTTCGTCTTTTGCCCCTTTTGCCTGGCGTAATCAATAGAGGATGTCTGGAGACCACAAGGAAAGACACCGGGTTGCATTGCAGTGACAGGTACAAGACCCGCTTGCTTCTCTCCATCACTGAGGGAAATGGAAGCTTCCAGGCTGCTCACTGATCAACAGGTACTAACGCACCATCTAACATTGCCCTTCCTTTTAAATCAAAAGTCAAAAACCATGTTTGAACAACAAACGATAACACCGTAATTACAAAATGTGAATACCGTTTTGCACAACAGTAATAAAATGATAATTTGTTAAAACAGAGCAACGTTGTGTACGTCTGTGACAGGATCAAACATTTGTGTATGGGATTATTAGCTGGGTGTCTCTCTTCTGGAAAATGTTTTGAGAATGATCATTTTTTCAATCAATAAAAGCAGCACGGTAGTATAATATAATTTGATAAAGTACGTAACACAATAATCATTACCATGTTCGAAAATGTGTTGAAAAGAATGCAGTGTTGTTCACGGTACAGTTTTGTAGTGAAAGTAGTAAACAGACACAGGACATTAACAATACCAGAAAACCCTTGTTGTAAAATTGTTTGCATCTTTGTCTGGCCCTGTTTGAAAATATACAGTAATGCTGATTGCAACATCATCTTGCTTTCTTTTGCTTTATATTATCTTGATTGTTTTTCAGTATCCTCACTCTACCACAAGCAATATATTGGAATATAACGATGTATTTATGGACAATAAATGTTGTCATCAAACTGTCATTATAAAGTTAGCTCTTACAAAACTGAATCAAATTTAATTGGATGTGATATGCATTAAATGCTGTGTTATAATAAATATTTCTTTGTAACACTTTCTGTAAAAAAGGTGGGCTTTCCGTTTTCTTTTCTGGGGGATTTAGAAAAAGTGCGCTTTATTTTCTTCAAAAAAGACAATTTTCTTTTAACTAGAATTTTGAACACAATCCGTCATATTTAATACTTCGGAGATCAATCCTTTAAAAACTTCGATAAGTAATGTTATTCTCTTAACTTTCTGTGGTTTTGTTCATTTCCATTGACCGTTTCACTCTGAAATTCAAGGCACCGTCAGCATCAACAACATTATTAAGCTTATTAATAATAACGACAGAATTGCAATTAGGTTGGTACTTCTCCAAAACGTTACAGGAAAATACGAAAGTTTCCTTTACGATTTTATGTTTTTTTTTTCAATCCATAGGCCAAGCAAGTGAGTTTTAAAGATGAATATACGTATAAAACACGTAATATATGTTGGACAAACATTTTAACAAAGCAACAACAACAAACTGCCTCAGGGTTTTTCAAGGTTTTATGTATTATTTTGCTGGAGGTCGTATAGTTCGCTAGGCACGCAATGTCTTGTCCATTTTCAAATGTTCTTTTTTAAGAAGGGGGATTACCGCCAGGAAGCGAAGAAACAAAAGAATGAACTTCTCCAAAGTTTTGGTCTACGGCTCACGAAAGCCGGAAGGTTTTCGACTTTTTTGACGTATTTTGAACTATTTGGACAATCTTGACCTGTGTTCTAAACAAGGAGGAGGGAAAGGCCAAAGTGTAGATACATATTGTTTTCATATTTAACATAAAAACAGCTTTGGGATTATTATCATAGTCGAATTATGTGCATAAAAGCAATTACTCTAACATTTTACGTTTCATTTTCATAATCCTTTTATTAATACCATTAAAAAAAACTCATGAGTCCTTAGCCCGATCGTATTCTTTCAAATTATACTCCTGCTTTTACTCCAAGTAAAAAATTTAATTTATTTTAGTTCTTTTTCTCCAGTCGCCACTCAAGAATTCTTATGAACACTTTTCAAATTATAACAGCAAATAAAACTAAATACTGCACAAAATATGTTTAGCATTCACGTGAAGTTAAATTATAATGGCAAACCTTAACTTTATTCAAATAAAAAGAATATATAAAATAGCATTAAAATCAAATATAAAGTTATCTGAATAACTTTAAAGACGTATATCTATTTATATATTAAATGTAATGTATTTGTTAAATATTGTATTCATAGTAAACAATATTCATTAGTAAAGCTATCTAGTAAACTACTCCAGAGTATATTTATTAAGTTCAATGTAATCCAAATTACAAATTGATATTGTTTGCTCAATAATCACTTACTTTAACAAATGTAGGCTAAAATGTTGACTTGTTAAATAATTGCAGAATTTTTAAATGTGAGTCAGGTGATGAGTGATCACCATTTGCTTATTTTAGTTTTATGTATTACGTTGTGTTACACGATTTCAAATTCGTGTGTTCAACGTCAGTTTAAGGATAACTTACAATTATTTGTAAAATGCCCTAATGAATTATGATTTGTTTTCTTACGGACGTTTTTTTTTTCATCTGCAGTTACTACATATAAGGTAAATATGAACCACCATTACCTCAATACAATAAAACCTAGTTATTAACTAAAATATTTTATATGAAAGTGTATGTACTATTTCACGAAAGTTATTTAATTTAATTTAATTTTTACTACGGTTTCAAATGGTTATTTCTACATTTTCACACATAAAAATAGCTTAAATACAGAAATAATATGATGAAAACTGTTTCATAGTCAACTTTCTTTTTATCTTGGACAAAGGGATATGTATAGTAATAAAGGATGATAAACGTGAGAAAAACTGTGAAAGAAAGTGATTTCAAGAAGTTCAATGTTAATTAAATATATGTATGTTTGCATTAAACATACGCAGATGCATTTATGTATAGGAAATATAAACTTTATGATTTCTAAAATTATTTACTGTTTATTGTGTAAATTAAAGATAGACTAGATTTAACAGCTTTCAACAGGTTCATCTGGGGATCAGGATGGACCTGTCAGTTCTGTAACAGCAGTAAGTCGTCGCTGATCATTAGAGTGTGGTTCAGTAATGATATATCTAAAGTTTTGAGGTCGCCTTCATGATCTTGGCAATTTATACTAATGTATCATTGGTATGTGCAATGTGGTGTTTAAGGTGAAATGTCATTTAAATCAAACTGTCTAGAGAATTTCACGGCATTGTATATCAAGGGATAAAAATAGTCTAAGTGGGCAGTATTTTGGTCATAGTTATGATATTGACAGTTTAAGGTACAAACATTTCCAATAATGTGGAAATGACGGCATAATATTGTACATATTCAGCGCTCTAGGATTATGAGCTGTAATGTTTAAAGACGCATTGACTAAATAAAGCTCATTCATATTTAACTACCGTGGTTCCTAAATTAATAGGAGACACTCAAGCAGATGTCAAAACGTCTTAAAAATGTTTATGTGTGAATAACTGAGAAGGTGGAGAGACGCATTATCTGACTGTGAAATGAAAGATTTATGAAGGACAGCTGTTTGTAACAGTCGCCTCCTGGTGTTTCATTAGCCAACGATGCTAATTTAAACCTTTACTTTAATGAAATCTGACTTTCACTTGCGTCCACTATCCCTCATTATGCATTAATTACCCGTAATGCGTAAAGTCAGTTAGCAGACCTCCGGGACTCAACAAGAAAACTATCGATTAACACATCAAAACATCTACTTCATCTGAAGAATAATAGTAGTTTTGAAAACTAAGGTATTGTTTCTACAGATGTTTTCCATTCAGTGTCCTAGCATCGATGAATATTGGCCAATGACAAAAATGCTGATGATGTAAACGGGGTTTGACTTTTGGTACAGACTGTGTGCGATAAGCCTCTGGAATAAATGATCGTTTGTTCCCTCAATGCATTGTGAACAGGCTGACAGCAAGAGGTCTCGCAACTCCACGTATTCTATTATACGCCGAATCTCCGTCTTTCATTTAGCAGGACATATTCCCTAAATAACTCTTGGAGATCATCATCTGATTGTTAGCTCTTGACATCTGCTCCTGGCGGAGAGGTGCAGGGCTCGGCTAAGTGTCGTGTAAAGGTAATGGGAAGTTATTGGAAGTTAGTCTGATGAGGGTGTCTAGAGGGTCGTTGGTTCACCATTGGGTTAAAACGGCTGTTGATATCTTTTGTTTGCTTTCTCCAGAAAATCCCTTTCCTTCCTAAAAGAGGATGTGTCCAGCTATTTCATAGCGGCTTTCTCCCAGCCGTGCCTACCAGTCTTCCCACTGTTTGTTTTTCTAGTTTTATTAAATCGTCCCAAACAGGAAAACAAATAATATCACCACGTCATGGCCCAGAGGTTTGTTATATTCTCTGTACCTTCCTAGACTGTGGGTGAGAATTCTTTTGTATTTGACTTAGAAACTGCCTTCTATTTTTACCCTGAATGACCAAACTATTGGCAGAGTAGAATTAAAATAAATCTCAGATTTCCAAGCATGCGTGGCTGTATATCCAATTCCCATTCGCTGCTTTTATAGACATAAATTAATTGTACTGATTTAATAAATCTATAAAATGTGTTGCAGTAAAACATAATGAATAAAAATAATGGTAGCACAAATGCCAACGGCCACTTAAAGAGCACACACAGGCTGTTACCTCCCATTTTAAACTGTAAGCTGATACGAGATAGTTTATGTCAGGGCCTCCCAGTCTGGTAAGACTTGGTCCATAATGGAAATATTAACGTGATTGACCAGATATTTTAGATTGCTTTTTGCTGCTTAAAACATTGCCTTCATTTATGAATCTCTCTAGATGCATTGAAAACCTCTTACAGGTGCAAAGCTGAAATAATTCCAAAATGTCTTATTAGTAAATAATTAATTACATCTGGATATAGGTTAAATCAATAAATTAGCTGAAAACAAAAACAGCAGATACCAGAATTTGTGGTTGGGAGATTTTTTTTGTTACTTTTTTAAGGAAACATATTTAGTACTGACACCATTATACCTGCCAGTAATGTTTCCTTTGTATATGGTCATAATGCTGATTGTGATGCATGATGCTACAGTTTGTGGTTTAGACATGTTGCCTGGATCTCAGAGAATTCCAGTGCTCTAATTGAATCTGTTTTACAATGAAAATTGCCTCTGTTTGTACCGCGACACCCCTGTTCTGTTTACATAAAGGGCAACAAAGAAAAGTAAATCATAAAGCAAAGCCTAAATCGTTTTTTTCAGCTAAATAAAAACATTGAAGTTGCGTATCATTAATTTATAAATATTTTGA